ATTTTCTTCCAGTGCACAAAGCAGATAGTAGTCAGACGCTATCATGTGATTTAAAAACACACGAGATGCAAAGACTGAGTTCAATTACAGGAGATTGGTGACCATCTTGAATTCAGCCTTCTCTGCCACAATCAGAAATTGAGTATTTAGATCAAAAGAAAGTTACACAAGAGTTAAAGTAACCTATTCACTCAGTTTTATAGAATCATAGAATCGTTTAGGTTGGAAAAGACCTTTAAGATCACCCAGTCCAGAAGATGAACTGCTAATTACCAGCCCTGCATCTAGTATTTTTTGGTTACCCCAGAAATTTGCAACCTCAAATGGTAATTTGTGGAACAAAAGCTTCCCCACTGAATAACTCTGGCACATAAGTAAGCTGCAATGAAGTAGAAAAGTCTTCATCTACTTGATCTCTCATGATACAATTCTATACCACAGCAGAATGACTGAAATCCCTCTTACTGTATTTGCAAAGTAACCATAACCAAGGACCTACATCAACAAGGTAACTAATACAGATTTTACAAACTAAGTGTAACTCAAAACAGATCTGCTAATCATTCTTTTTTAGGCCTTGTGAAAGACACAATGGATATATTCTTTGCTTCCTTCAGAACTATGAGCTTAAATCCAACATGCCCGATACCCAATTCACCTATATTGATATGAAGATGAGTTTTAAAGGTAAAGACTATTTAGGATTTTGAGCAGTAGCTGAAGAATGAGAGGACTATTAACATTTTACCGAAACCTTGACAACCAGTCGTTTTTAGATAGTCATTTTTTAGTAAGCCCTACTAGTACCAGTCTAGTCTATAACTCTTCAAGGTATAGCGTTAAACTATCTACTTCCCAACAGGATGGACATGTTCAAGCTCAAAATATAGGCTATCATATTTAGATTATGTCATCGGCCAAATTTGCAACTCCATAACATGAAGTTAACTTCACGTGATTACATATGCAATCTGCTGTATTGAGTCAGTAGTTGAAATGAGCCAACAATAAGATAGCCCTATTTAAGCTTACTATAGGGCTACTAGTCACAAATCATACGGTGTTTTCCAGTCTACTAGCTTTGCTGTATTTTAATACCTCTCATTTTCATCATCTCACAACCACCACCACCACCAATAAGCACAGCCCGGCTCTCAAACCTATCCTTAGGGTGTGTATACAAAATCTATTAATCTTACTTGATTTCATTTGAATCAAATACAGACCTCCTATACTGTAGCCTGCAGACATTTTGAATTACAACAGAACCTCAACATTAAAAAAAAAAAAAACCCCACACCAAAACCCACCACCACCAAAATCTGTGAAAAAATTGATCTAGCAGTATTATCTAATTAAGATTTAATAAAATTTAATCCTAATTATTGTAGCAGCATTACCTTATCTTCTTTCACACATGTGCTAGCTTTCCTCTTAGAGGTACATGCCTGCTTGCAAAGTTCAGAAAACATTATCTCCATCGGATGGGACACTTCATCCTCCACTAAGGGCAGAGACAGTCAAGTTCTCAACAATATCTGGCTTCATTTGTGTGATCCTCTAGCATACCTTTGCAGTGCTATTATACTCATCACTGAATAATGCTGCAGACTTAGGATAACTTTTTTTCTCTTGCCATAGCATAACTTTTTAAGGTTTACTTACTGTTTATCTTTAAGGTTATAAGACATTTAAAGAAAAACATGCAATGGTGTGGAAGAGGCACTTGCCTTAACTCCAAGCTTCAGTCTGCAGCACTGACCAGTGATGGGTGTGATGACACCAACAGAGAGCATGCTGAAGTATCACATAAAGGAAGCTAAAGTTCATGAACAAGAGGGAAAAATAAAACATTGTTAAACAGTGAAAAGATGTTAGGGTGAAAGATACTCAGGAGCATGGAGAAGCTAGAGAAAAATACACAACTTAAATTTCTGTCTTTCTCAACAATTCCTAGTTATATTTGGTTTTCATTATTCCGAAAAGACACCCCAGCTCCTATAAGATGGATAAAAGCAAAAGATCCTTTTCTTTCCAGGGTGAACATCTGGTTCCAATAATGCTGGTGACAAATGACTCATTAAATTAAAAAATAAGAGTATTTTAAGCCATGAATAGTACTAGCCTTTATCACTTACAACTCCTCCATTAATGTAGTAATGAATGCTGACAATTTAAGAAAGCATTATGTGCTATTTTTTTACACGTAAAAAACCCAAGTATCTAGTGATATGCTAATTAATTTATTATCATTTGCCTCATTGTTTCTTTAAAAAAAAATATGTACCTGTGCTACACTGAAGATATTCTCACCTTTCCATGTGCCCCTGCAGTATTGTAATCTTTTGTAATTATTTCAGTGTGGACTGACTGTTCCACTATAAAGGTCTTAAATCCTTTCTCATCTTACAGAGCAACAATGAGTCCTTTAAACACTCCCAATGCAAACAAATTCTGAATAATTAAAAATCTTGGCTGAATATTGCCCGCTATGTTTATTATCATTGTATAAAAAGGAGAGTATTTCTGACAAATAAGAATCCCTTCACTAGCCAAAAATATCATGATCTTGAAACAGCAGTACTTTGAGAATACCATTACGTGTGCCACATTGAGAATGCACACAAGGTGTGCCTGACAGCCTATGCATTTATGGTACTAACCAAGGTTTACTCAATAAACATTTAACACAATCTCTGTTACCAACACAATTTGATACTTACAGTACTTGACACACTGGAAGAACATAGCTACATCATTTTGACCTATACTGAGGCCTAAGCCAGCACAAAATAAGACAAGTAGGTAATCATTACTTGGACAATACATCTACCCTTTTTTAATTCTGTATAAGGCTTCTCATTATTAAGCTGAATTTTACACCTACCTGTTATTTAATCATGTCAAAAAAATCCCCAAGCCAAAACCAACCATTGAGATAAAATGTGTCATTTTGAGGGCTCACTATAGTAACTTACACCACAAAAAGAACGTTATCTGTGTTAGTATCAAACTCTCAACATCTGCCACTATAGCAAATATCAACATATGAGCTAAATGGCTTCACATCGCCTCTCCTCTCCTTGAGGAAAGGACAATATGGATGTCTCCCAGTGTTTCACAATGTGCTTTCAGAAACAAGAGCTATCAGTATGGCTCCCATGGCTCACTTCGTTTTCCAGTATACCGTACAGATTTTAATTGCTTAAAACCTGTTGACAAACTGGACAGAGTATTGACAAGACCAAAGTTTTACAAATTGAAATGCATCTCATTATTATAATTCTTAAGTTTTATTTGAGGAAAATAATCTTAATTTTTACTTATCTTCAATATCATTTAGAGCTAGAAGCACTATCATACTCTTTGTATAAAATTGAGTCTTTATCCTTTAGGGAAGAGGAGATGGAAAAATGCTTTCAACATGCCACTAAATAAATATTCTGTTATTCTTACATATGAAAATGAAGTATAGATTTCTAAAGTACACAAATATTCAAATCATGTGTAGACTACAGGATGCAGGGGAAAAAAACGCATGTGTGAGACAAAGAGCAAACTGAACTTGGACTGTAAAGATTTCCAGAGTCATGAGTCACCTCTGTCTAAGTGACATTCAAACAAAAAATTTAATCCAGACTTACAAAAAGATTTTAAGTGTCTGGAATAGCTTAATAACTAACAAGCAGCATCACCACATCAGAACAAACTGCAGGGAGAGATATCTCCATCAACAAGACAGAACTTCATGACGCACGAGTTACAGGTATAATCCCAACAACCAAGCTTGTTTGCATCCTAATTATAGTGATGTCCTATGAACTACCACTAAGAGGATATACCACTATCTTCTTGTAACTGTGCTACCATTCCAATCAAATTCTGTTGTATTTACATGATCACTGAACTACATAAACTTTATCTAAATTGCTAATTATTAATATGAGTGCTTTTTGGACTTTGGTATAGCGTTATTCTAAAGCAACTTTTTGTTTAGAAAGCAGTTTAAAAGATATATATGAAACTAGGCTACTGGTTTCTTTTCCTTCATTTTCTTTCTTTAAATGCAAGGACTGCTTTTAAAACACTGACTTGATCCTGCCAGGTGAGGTTTCTCATTTTAGTCACAAGATTAATGCAAAATGATCCTAGAAATATTCACGTATTGTCAGATGATATATCAAATCAAAGAAATCATTAAATAAATAAATAAAGGCTCAATTACTCTGTGCCAGATTACTTCAGTGGAAGTAAGGAGGACATTTCAAATCACACTCATCTGTATCTTTTTTCCATCCTTTAAATTAATGCAAGGCAGATGTAAATCATTATTTCTCAGTATATTAGTTTTTCTTTCCTTCTTGCAAAATGTTTAATTTCCTGTCTCTAAAGACACAATTTACATATTTACTGCCATGTAAGAGCTGCAGTTAACATTACAGCTGCTTACAGATGTAAAAATGCCTAATCAAATGAGATCTGTAAGAAACATATAGCAAAGGAAAATTAAAAAGCATGCGTAGAATTTAACACTTTGAGGTGCTTATAAAACTACAATTCCTAAAAGCAGTTCCTGGCGTTCTTCTATTCTATGCTGAGTCAAAGCCAAAAGAAATGAAGGTCCACAAACTGGAAACTGTAAAGTAGCAAATTAATATAAGAGGTTTATAGATATGCAGAAAGTTTCAAGTTACTGCAAAACAGGTAAATTAATACACCCTCTTTGTGTTAAATCCTCTTGATTAGAGCCACTTTGCCTTCTGAAGTGTACGGACATTTACGTATTTGCATACAGTATATTAATCTCTATGTTTTACTCAATATGAAAACACTATCAGTTGCTGTACATTCATGGGAATGACTGTGAAGCACATGTAATGAAGCATGAAATAGGAAGTCACAGGTTAAAATGACCTTTCAAAACAGGCATGGTACTGTGTATTATAAAATAAAGTAAGTCTTTCAGATAGCATATAAAATAACCACAAAGGACTACTCACCATGTCATATGCTGTTACAATCTTTTTCAAGACTTCTGGAACAATCCCTTGGAGCTCCATCGTCGGATACTGATCATTGAGATTCAGTACTACCAAGGGCGCATTATCAGGCCCAACCAAGCGCGTAGACACTGCCAAAATGCACTGCATAAGATTTGCTACAGGAGAGAGGCCACATAATTCTTTGAATGAAACTACTGCATTCTGCAAAAAGGAAAGAAAGAGTTTCCTTTACAGTTAAATATGGATTTTAGTGTCTCATTCTTTCAGGATAAAATACTTCACTGTTACAGTTGAGCTACAATGTGGAATTACCACAGCTTTTCCCTGAAGAACTTGCAGTTTTCCAAAGCAACCAATATTACACATGTATTTTACTGAAAACGTTAAAAATTCAAACAGAATTCAATACTAGCCACAGGAAAAAAAAAAAAAATCTATTTAGAACAGGTATGTCTGGTTCTCTATCACTAGTAAAATTAACCATGCAAATAAATTAATTCTAAAACATACTGGTTATATATTTTTGAAGAATTCTAAAAGACATTTCAAAGTAATTTTTAAAATGCCACTAAGAGAAACAAAGTATTAGGTGCTGAATGTCCAAAATAAGCAAAGTGAAGTGGAAGGAGGAATTCAGCCCATTTGTAACTTTAAACATACCTGAACTATAGTCCAGACGTGCTGTGGATCTGCTGGCTCCCATTTGGTGTGATTCACAAACCCAGCACTCCACTACCGATGTCATTCCTACCACAGAATCACACTTCAGTGAATTTTTAAGGTACTTTAATATCAATACCAATTTTGTACCTTTCCCTAAAATTTATTATAGTTGTATTTTATATCCAATATGGCAGAATATAAAACCATACACTTAAACTTGAAGAAAATTTCCAGTATTAGAAATACAATGTGACTCCAAGTAGCCACTGAAATTCCATGATGGGAATATTTTCAGCACTGTAATGAATTTAGGATTTTTGTACCAAGTGGGAGCTGGTGATCTATGGCAGGTCTGGAGTTTGTGTTCCTGTAGGAAACAAAAACAAAAACACGGTATATTTAAGTTACAAATGTGCTCAGTGCTCCTTTCTCTCATGTCTTACCCGAACAGGGTATCTGACACAGATTTTCATTTTAATCAAAACCACTTTCCATCTTGCTGGCATGGTAAGACTCATTTGTGGACAAATTTCTGAGACACACTTAATACCAACCTTAATGCAAACAGGAATCAAACGTGAACTATTTTGCTGTCCCTTTATGAGACAAAATACCCCAAGTAGACTTCAAAATATGTACACATAGCATATTCAGGCAAAATTATGTGGATACTGAATTACATCTACTACAGTCACTTACAGGGTACTTTAAGTAAATGTTTAGTAGCATCTAGTAAATGTTCATGAAACAGAAACTACTTTTATTAACTGGACTACACCTTAATGACACAATAATTACATAGTTGAAAAGACAGACATTGGGAAGTCCATTCAAACAGATTTTGTTTGAGATAAACGTCATGGGTAAGCCATTATGAACAACAACTTTACAGAGAGGTTAATGAGGACCCAGGGAATGTACATATTAGCTAATGGCAGGCAGGACAGAACTACGGTTTTAACTCTTGCCTTTGGACTTCCAGCCCTATATCCAGAGACTATCCCTTATACTGTCAAGCAATTTAAACATGCAACATCACATCCAGTTGAATCACTCATTATACTTTTAGCAGTGATTAATATGTAACAACAAGTTATGATATCAACTTTTGTCACAGTAATGTATTACTAAAGGAAGAAAAAAGGCTACCTATTTGTATACAGATTTAGAGAAACAAACTCACTGCTGCACACTTTCTTTTTTTCTCTTCTTCCATCTTACATAAAAAAAAACCCCAACTTTGCTCTTTATAATCTGGCTTTTGGGGACATTATTTCTGTATCATAAAAATCATAACAATTTATAACACAAAATTTCAGTAATATAGAAATTAAACAAATCTCACATTCCATAACTTGATACCTGAGTGGTTTATTTACCTTTATTAGCTGTAAAACCTTAGTTATGCAGAGTTTAAATTGTGCACATTATATAATCTGTCAGTAAAGCTATGCAAAACTAATATTCCCTCATGTACCTGAAATATCTTCTTGATAGAATTTTGAGAGACGATAATGATGAATTTAGTTGATAGCACAACTTTCAAACTGACTGAATAAACTACATAAAATACCTTTTTATATCTCATGTTCAAAGAAACCACACAGTAGAGCCTGTTTTCAATTATATTAGTTCTGGAAAATACTGCAGCATGCACAGTGAAGAGTTTAAAAGTAGCTACAAAAACTGTATGTTTTCACTGTTTCCTCAAATCTTAGGTTCACTTCTTCCTTTAAAGGTATCTTAAAATACAGTATCCTTTATATGACAGAATTCTAGCCTTCAATAGCTTAACTACAGGTAAAGTTCACTTTATATGTAGCCCATAATGTGAAACATTTATGAGTCAAAATATCATCCCGATATATTTTAATAATCTTCTAGTATATCAATTTTTTTCCACCAAGTGGAATGGGAGAGCTTCACAATGCTGGACTAATTTCTTCTTTCACATGAAGAAAAATTAGTTTTAAAACCATATTATTATTCCAATCTCTTCCATATAAGATTATTCGCAAAGAAAATTTATCTACACTGATGTGCCTTTAAAATCCAGAATCGAGTCTCAGATATTTCCTTTCATCAGTTGCCTTTTAACATTACGTAAGAATAGGTCACTTCATTTGAAGTGACTATGCTTAATTTTATTAATCACTTCTGGTATTCCATTGGAAGTTTACAGATAGTTAAAAGCTTTATTAAATGAAACATAACTTTACAATTCACTTCAATCTATGTCTAAAAGGGTTTATTTACCTGGAATCTATATTGGAATCTCCAAAACATGCATTTTTAAAGTGGGATGTCTTGGCTTCCACAAAAACAAGCACCTCAGCCTGTACTTTTTCCTGAAATTCAATGTATTTACCTTGCGTGACCTTTCAGGTAAGGTAATTTCTTCTAGAGGATGCCTTCTAATACCTTAGCACTAATTCCATATATTTCTAACATACTGTTGCTAGGAAGAATCACGGTCTTTCTGAAAGTACTGCCTTCTATTTGGGAATGAGGAAAAAACAAAACCTCAGTGAAACTATGCTAAACATACTTTCATGTACGAGAAGTTTTCTAATAAGCACTAAAGGCTCCTTTTCCTCTCAGCTGTATTTTCCTCCTGCATTTCTATTTAACTTAATTTTCTAAAACTAAAATATTGCCATACTTTCCTCTAGTGTATATCTAATATAACTTCAAAGGCATAGGACAAGTCAACAGGCTTGAGTTCTAACACTGGAGTTGTATTTCCAGTTCACATTCAACAAAATACACATATGCATCCAAGGTCACCTCAGTAGAGAGTATCACCTAAAAGGCTGCTCTGACATAATCCATTTTTAAAACTGTTGAGCATTAGACTCGAATAACGTAACTTACAAAACACAGCAAGGCTCTTAAAAACATGTATTCCATATGCATCATCATACAAAAATACACATAAGAACTGATAAATTCATTGTAAAAACTGTACCTGCATATTTTCTCTCAAATCCGTGGCATCCCGAATAGGTTGGAGAGCATTCTTGAACACTTCATCTATTGTTTTAATCCACAATGTTCTCATAGAAGCATATTCCCTTGATTTCTTGCCCTTCCTCACAGAAAGGCCCCGCTTATGAGGTTTCCCACCACCCCTTCGATTAGTAATGGCCACATGCACAAACAAGGAAGCATGTGCTAAAATTTCACCAGTTAAAGACTGCAGAGGAATGTGCCGGTAACCAGTCTGTAGACACTCAAAGGGAATAGTGTATTGCCCGATAAACTCATCCCCAATGTAATCATCATCCAGTACTACAAAACGCACCATAGCTAGTTCTGGTAAATTTATTTGAAATTCAAAGCTTTCATCAAAAATGGGATTATCCCCATTCTGATGCATAGTTTTCGTCCTTTGCTCTGCACAGTCGGCAGGGATTCCATGTATTTCAACATAGACATAAGGATCCACAACATCACCTTTGGCACCTGATCCTTTGGGTTTAGGAAAGTTTTGCCCACTAATGATTTTAATATGAAGCAGCTGAGGCGAAACTCCAGGCACGGTGTCTTTCGTATTTGCGCTAAAGAAGGATACTTCTTCTCTCATGATAGCAGGACGAAGGACATAGCCACAGTTTCCGTTTTGTCGAAACCAACCAATGTTAAGATCCATCATTAAGCCAGGCGTTTGAAAGTTCATTGCTACTATCTGACAACCACATTTCCAAAAGTCCTGGGGATTCATATTACTAGAGTCAATCCTCATAGGACTGGGGAAAACTCTTGCAAGAAAACGTTTGTTATAATTTACAAAGTCTCCTGGGTTTTCATTAGCATATTTGCTAGCAAGCACTTCATTAAACGAGCACACTTCCCAGTACTTCTGGAGCTGAAATGAAACTTGAAACTCTTTGAACTGAACGGATTTACATATGCTTACCAACTCAGAGAGTTCTTTGCAGAGCTGAAATCGTTTCCCCATCATTGAGTTTTGCTGTTCTACCCCCTCTTTCCCCACTCTTTGTGACATTTCTGCTCCTTCATCTTCATCTGTAACATCTCCCTCTAGTCCAGAACAATTAGAGGAAAGCTTCTTTGCTTTAATTAGTATTTTCCCTTTAAGTGATTCTGGTGATGGAAGATAAGACTCTTCAATGTTTGGAGACTGTGTATGTAGTTTGTCCCCCAAAATTTTCTTCATGTGTTGTACCATAACTTTCTGCTGCTTAATAGAACAATGATTTTCTAAACACAAAATAAGAGGGTATTCTGAAGCAAAAAACGCATACTTGTTAATAATGTCAATCACACTACGGAAGACAATCTGCGATGTCATTGTATGCCCTGTGTAAATCACAGGCTCATTATCCGGACCATCCCATACATCCAGTTCAACACTTCGACAACCCATTTTAAGAGCACGAATGTAACCTGTGATGTCAGAAGGCCCTCGAAACTGATCCTCTATCAAATACGTATTATGAGATGAATTTATAAAATAATGAGATAAAGGTTGTTTCATATCTTGACAAACTTTTTTATGTTCTGGATCAAATATGTGGCAGTCTGGTGAAGTAAGGTAATTTGTAAACCCATCTATAGAAAGCCAACCCTTTTCCTGGCCCTCTTTGGCTGGCTCGTATTTCTGAATAATTTCAAGGCTTATTTCTTCCGTGACGTGTGCCATACCCTGTTCTGCTTCTAAAAACATCATGAGGTCCTTGGTATCTAGGAATTCTTTATTGCTCGAAAACTGAACCAACAGGAAATAGATTTCAGGTCTGGTACAAAGTTCATGAAAAACTTCAATAAACTCTTCTTTTGTTACTTCAGTACCAGTTTTTTCCTTGGATCTATGTAACTCCTTGAATTTTAGTTCGATTTTATTAGTTTTTAAACCAGGATTTAAGTCTTTTATAAACTGTACAGCATTACACAGGGGTATATGTCCCAAATTATCTACATCTGATTCACTGAACATTTGTGAAAGCCATGAAGTCCGCATATTATCTTGAGTACTTTCTATCATATCTAGAGTATCTTTTCCGTAAGAAATCAGGTATCTTAAGCCAGTAACCCAAATATTTGCAATGTCTGCTGAGTTAGCAACAAGATCTAGTGACTCATAGTTTTCTCCATATATAATTGAAAAAGCACAATCTTCTGATACCTGGTCATATATTCCATTGCTGCGAAAAATATCTGTATTTTTTCCTGTTCTTACTTCTTTGATTGATTTAATATCAATCTTTGCTTTTTCAGAATCCTTTTTTGAAGGTTCCCAGCGTAGAGACTGCATATCTGCATCTAAAAGAAAATATCGGTGATACACCCTAGAGTTGGATCGAATCTTTTTCAGCTCAGAGCCTTCAACCATCGCGTTTATACAGTCACTTGCACTGCTGATCTTTTTCTCAGTTGGCATACTGCTAAATGACACAGTCTTTTTCCGTTCTCGCTTTTGTTTCGTACCATCCTGGTAAACAAGGGGAAAAGAAGAAAACATGTATCAGTATGATTTTGCTCAACGTTGAAATAGGTTTCAGCTTACAGCTGAAAGTTCACAAAGTAGTTCAAAAACATCTAGCATCTGTGCGATGACCAGTAAGATGGAAATTCTTATTGGAATCATCACAAATGAAAATACTAATAATGGCTTAATATTTGTTCTTGCCTATATAAGTAACATTCCAGGGCTTGGGTTTTTAATATTTCATATGAACAAAAAATTTAAAAAAGCAAGTTTTGAATGCTAATGAAATAATAATGCTGTATAAATGCATTTTATTTTACCAGTAATAACCTACTTTCAGATATAATGGGTTCTACAGCCACGGCAGTAGGACGTAAGTTTTCCTCTGAGTCCTTACACAGTTCTATAGATACTTACTGAACTTTGTCAGTACAGAATATAAGGCTTTAATACCATGCCAACAGGGTCCTCATGAGCACCACAGCAACATTCACACACAATTAACTACATAAAATCCATAGGACATAGTCCTAATCTAAGTATACAAGATGTTAACAGTACTTATTATGCATAACTCCTTTCTCTACTGCACCCATCCATGTTCTTCCCACACACCGACCAGAGCATTAACAGATGCACCTCTTCCCCTATACTAGGAAAACATCCACATTAGTCTTAAGAAGCTACGCTGAAACGCAAGTGACTGGACTGGAGCAGATATAATTCACTGCAAGTTCTGAGTTTCAGGAAATATGACAGTAACTCAAGAGGGAACCATCTCTGATTATTAAAGTTTAACTGGTTCCAAAGAATCATTAGAAAGAACGTGAATGGAAAATGCAAGACCTGGTCAGGAAGGGAAGCAAAAGTGATACATACACCTTTGCTCTTAAAACAATGAAATAACCCAGAGGTCCTAGTTTACTACAGAAAGCTTGGGTAGACAACTGGATATATAAACCATTAAAAAAAAAAAAAAGGAAGAAAGAAAAAAAAAAAAAAAAAAAAGAAAAAAATGTCATTTAGCTACCTCTATTTGCTGTTTGTATTAATTCAAACAAGTGCAAATAAATCAGTAACGGATCACTTAAGTATAATCAATTTCATGAGAAAGAACTGAATTTAAGAAAATGGTGTGCTTTCATTATCTGCATTTTCTGAGATTGAAAAAATGCTGCGTTTTCGGGTTTATTTAAAAGCATTGTGTGTCTTGATAAGCTAACTTTTAGTCCAAAATAATACTTCCATGAAATAATCTTTTTATGTTAGATACCCTATTTAGAAATGTTCTTCTTATATTCCAGCATGGCTCAAAAAATTACTTTCCCAGCTTTATACAAAAAGAATGTTGATTTTCCCTCCAACAGTTTTCCATTTGAAGTATGTTCCAGTGCAAATCAGCATTGCTTATATGGCAGAAAGAAGAGGGAAAGAAAACTTTCAATGATTGCTATGCTGAACAGATGTTCAAATAAAAAACATCCATTACAGAATGCACTTCCAGTTCAGGGCATATGTACTGTATGTTTAATTTCATTATATTAAAAATGCAGAACTCTGGTTTTGTAATTTAATTTATAAGCAACTGAAAAGGCTTTCATTGAAAACAATGATTAGTAGAGTAAGAAGACTTATTATTCGCTGTTCCATGTTTGAGAAAATTAATCAACCATACGATTCTTGCACCTTTAATGAAAGCAGAATTTGCTTTATGCAAGTTCTCAAGAGACCAGTAAAAGTGAATAACCCTAGAGAAGACTGTTTTATTTCTAACTCCAGATCAAACACCTGCAACGGATACCACACAGGGTTGATTCTTGGAACCTCACTGCATGTACTTTGAGCATGAGGACTGATTTCAAAAAGAAAGCAAATTTCCTTAATTTAAAAAAATAATAAATTAAAAATGTGATTTTTGTTTACAAAGATTTTTGTCCTATTTTAAGCCTAGCTTCTTGTCTGGCAGCCTGTCTACCTACATCTCCTAACCTGAAAAAGTGACAAGGGACAGCCCCACAGAAATGAGCAATATCATTCCTATCCAGTATTTTTGGGCTTGGAATGAGGCATGCTGAAACTCCTTAATGCTCCAGATTTCTCAGTCACAGATCTAGGAGGGGAATATATTTCCTGAACTCTTCAGTGAGAGACAGCTGACATTATCTCCCAACACCAGAACTGTCAAGGCCTGCCGAAATATTACCTTCCCTGACCATGATCAGTATTTCCAAGAAGATTTCCCTATGATAAGGATTGTGTCTGATCCAAGACACTGAATGGCAAGGAAGAAAAAAATCTGCCATTTCTTGATGTCATCTTATGTAAACACATCCACCTCAAGGCAATCCCATTCCCAACTCTAGACCTAAAGACTGAATTGGTGTTTACACATGCGGATCAGAGGAGTAATTCAATCTACCACACCTGCCAGACTATTTTGCTTGCCTGCCAGATGAATTTGAAGCCAGTTAGACAGTATTCTGCATTTCTGCAGGGTAAAGCAATCTCACCACTTGGCTTATTCATATAAAGCTGGTGGTAGACATCACTATCTGAATGTGATGACTGTGAAGGCAAATTTTAAAATACTCTTGCGAGTTTCTCACAGGTCTGAGCTCCAGAGCACCCTTCGTAAGTTTTTGCTTCTCCAGAGCTCAATGATCCTGAGCTACCAGATTGCCTGTGCGAGTCCCCATCCCGACAGAGATGTGGCAGTCACAATCAATCTGCATAAACAGAAGAACTTAAAGGGTATTTTCACAGAGACACTGGCCAGAATTATCCACCTGTCTGAAAAGAAACAGAAAAGAAACTCTCACTCATAAGCTGAGAATGTAATCGCATAGAGTGTGCACAATCTGTATGAAACAGGTTTGTGAGCCTCAGAGATACAGTCTAACATGGAGAAGGAGGCAGATATATTCTGCTGTATGATGTAGAGGATTTCACCCTGGAAGTGGAGTGGCATTCATGAACTGGGCCAGGTCTCTCATGGCCTTAAGTTTGTTTTGAATCAAAGACTGGCACATCAGAAAACTGTATGTATCTGAATGAACACAGGAGTGACTTCCCAGCATTCATGAGACTTACAGTGTTCTTGATGCTGTTCAAGATGCTTGAAGCGAGACTCGATCTACAGTGCAGATGCATAATTCTGTCCATGGCAGAAGCTACAGTTTTTGTGCTGAAACAACTTTCAGAGTCCTTCTAGGATCTCTCACACAATGAAGACCATGTCAATCCTCAGATTGTAACAGGTACTGTCATCATAAGTCAGGACTTCCCCTAAAGACTCTTCAGTAGACTTCAACATTGAAACCAAAACGACCACTTCATCAATACACTTCCTAAAACTATGTGTGCCACATCAAGGTCACCTGCAAGAAGTTTTGAGAAACAGACCAGACCACAGATAAAACTGTTGTGAAACTCTGCGAATATCTGCTACAAGTGACAACACAAGGAGTTTAGTTTATCCAGGAGTTCGTAGCAACAGAAAGCAAAGTATCTAGCAGTTTAAAAAACAGAAATCACAGCTGACATCTACAGCACTTAAGAGACAGAAACAGCGGAGAAAACAGCTTAAAAGAGCAAACAGGGAAGAGTATTTCCGTGATAACTTTTTTTTTTTTATTCCTCTCAAGGTACAGACAAAGAAATGGTTGTGTGACTAAGACAGCACTATCTACAAAACAGAATTCTGGAGGCAACAAAGAATCTTGAATCGGATGCTGAGAGATATGCCCATCATTCCTGAACAGCAAAGCTTTTAATACATGCAACTTTATGATAAAATTACTGAAAGAGCAGTTCTAATAACCACAGGGACTGATAGGGACAGTGGTGGAGTTCAAACAAGAGATTTCATAACGTAATAGATCGGGATGATAGAGGAAACAATGAATAGTGCAAGGTTTGCAAACATCCACTACAGGAAAGGATGCAGAGAGCAAACTTTACAACCAAATGAATCATGCCCCAGAAGACAACACGGGGAAAGCAGTACTTCAAAAACATTCAATCCCAGAGTTACCGAGAAGTTTAGGTACTGCTTCTTACAGTGGAATCTAGAACACTATGGGAAAAACCTTACAGCCCAAGCCAGTGGCCTGCCACCCCCCCGAGGTGGGAAGTGAGGGGCTGCAACCGGAGCACTGTGCAGGACACTCCTTCCATCTGCCTTACACTTGCCAGTGCAAACTGGAGATGGGTGTCTGCGATCCTGCCTCTCTCCATGACTAAAGCAGCTACCTGCAGCTTTAATGCAGCAGTTAATCTTCAAACCCCAGTTAGTATAAGGCCTCTGTCTGCATTTAGCCCACTAAGGTACGCCTTTTGGGACGGAGGACTTCACAAAGTGAAGACAATGGTAGGTAACAAGAGGAAGTGGCAGAATGACACATTTTAGAGCATTCATCTGGGAAGTGAAAGTCCCTGATGTCATTACTCCATAAACATTTCACTTGGTGAGCCTGAATGGAAAACATACAAGCAGTCCATGCAGCAGGGACCTGAACACTGAATTCTGCCCTCTGAGAGGAATGAATACCCACCTCCCCAGGTGACAGATCCTGCTGCTTCTTGTTTATGCTCTAACCATACAAAATTTCCATTTGTGCTTATATACCAGTGGTTCACCAGAAAAATGGAAGGCAGCTCCATCCTAGTCTTGAGAGCATGCAGCTAGCACATGAGGAGCTGCGTGTTTGAAGATCCCCAGGCAGAAAGACTAGAGCCCAATCACTCAATGAGTCGGTGAATGCTCTGCCAACCAAGCAACTACATAAAATACAGAGCACAAGACACCTCCCCTCAACCCCAGCATCTCACTGCAGGCTTTTTGATTGTAAATGGCTGAGCTTTGACAACACGTGAAGAAACACACACCTGGTGGCAACAACGGCACATGGTCTGCAGGAGCCACAGTCCCAAGAATGTCTACTTAATTAATCCCAAACAGGCTTAGAAACAAGATGGATGCTGAGCCATTCAGCCTAGC